GAATTAATACAGTCTGGGCTTGACTTCTGCTCCGGTTTGGGAATCTAATTTAAAATCAGTGTTTTTACAAACCAAATGAGACACTTGATGCAGCACCAAGAGGCCCAGATCAGCAGAGTGTGTTGTTGATCTGGGACACATGGAAAACCTTAAACCTGTTAGCAAAATATTCTTTCACAATGCTGTTCTTTTGATTATGCTGAAAACACAAATGTGTCAGAACATAACCCAAATGCAACTCTGACTGTACCTGATAATAAAGTAAGTAATTAAATTATTGTGTAAGGCTTACTTTAGTTAAAACGCCTTTAAAAAAAACTTTAACCATGTTGTAATTTATTAACTGATGTCCTCCAGTGAAACAGACTGTGAAACAAATTGATCTGTGTTTAAAACTGGAATGGACTTTGATCTTTGTATTTTCTGCTAAGCTTCYGTTAGAAAATGCTGATTAGCCCGGAGTCGGGTCAATGTTTGGTCCTAAAACAACTGTTTCACACTGTGAGGTCTGATTTACTCCAAGTTTACATGGTGCATCATTTCTAAACAATTTACAGAAACATATATGTAACAGATGAAAAAGGACATCATTTTTCAGGTCTAAGGTTTTCATATCAGGACATAAAGCATTGAACTGATGTGTGTTGGGTCTAATGATTAAGACAAATAAATAACCAAGGTAAAGGTTTCCTTAAATAAATGCTTAAATAATACAAAACACTATGTTTGAATAGTTGGATTGCTGTAAAAAAATGCAAATAAATATTTAATGTAATAATTTGCAATACTTGGTTATTTTATTCACAATGGAAAACAGTCAACATAATTTTCTTTACTGCTATGAATCTGCCATTCTGATTATTTTCAGTAATATTGACTTTCAAATGCTGTAGTAGTATTCCTGATAAAGCCAGACTGTGAGCATTAAGCCTTTTTTTGCCCCAAAATCTTTATTTCTAACGAGATCGTCTTATCAASCAGTGTCAAACAGTGATGTCATCTTTAACTCCAAAGCACACAGGAACAGACCAGATACATTTGACTCATGGTTTCACTTTACAGGCAAAAAGAGAGACTTTAATTTACATTTTAAACAAAAAAAACAAATAAAGCCAAAGGTTCCCCATGTTTTCCCAGCATCCTTTTCAGCTGGGACATCATTCAGTCTCAGAGATTATTTCCTGAGTTTGTTTCAACATACAAAGATTCATATTTTAGTGTCAATAGTGTTTAAATYTAAGAACTAAATCAGCAGAAACACAATTTCACAGGTTGTAATATTTAATGCCTTTTTCCCTCTCCGACATCTGTCATGACATGAGCCACTCAGACTGTTCATCACTAAATCACAAAGATAGATTATTTTGCAAAATAAGTTATCAGAACAAACCCTAGTTCTCCTAGAAATAAAACATGTGTGYTGCGATTAAAGCTCAGTACAGAATAAATTTCCTTCACATCATTAAACTGAAAAATAAAAATAAATAAGCCGATCGAGGACTGTGTTGTTAACATTTGTCTGTGAAAAGGGAAAGTTTGCTGGTTGCAGACAGTGTAGACCACGACAGATGCTAACATTGACAATCTGAAGGATTTTTAGATAAAAGTTGTGGTTGTGAAAAAATTACATTTTTGAGCAATTTTTTTGTCTTTTTCTCATTTTATTTTGGCTAACTCCACAAGCAAGATTTCTATTTTTAGCAGAAACTCACATAATTAAAGGTAGAATGAGACTAATGAATGATGGTAAATTCCTTTATTATTGACTGGAGCTGCAGAACCCCACTAAAGAGACTTGATTTCAGCTGCAGGTCACAAAGCTTGAACACMGACTTGGACTGAGTCTTTGTTGTTTTTCTTCCTACTCAGTTTCTCAAGGGAAAGTTACAGAACAGAATGTTGGAGGGGCTAGCTGAGAAAAAATAATCTAGAAGATTTATCAATAGTGATTGTTGAACATAAATGAGTCTGAATAGTTGATGCAGCCTCCCAACAGAATATGGCTTTATAGATAAATCCAGGAGGGGGAAAAGAAACAAACTTAAACAAAAAAAAAAAGAAAAAACACAGAGTTAAAGTGAATAAAAGTTTTTGATTGGACTTTACTGCAGCAGAAATTTGTAAAAAAAAAAAAAAAAGTAAAGT